TAGACAGAGGAGCCTAGTGGGCTACAGTCCATAGGGTCACAAAGAGTCAGACATGACTGAGCACACATGCAAGCACACGATCTCCATTTAGGCTGGCAATCAACGGCACAAGGTTATCTGATTATCCTATGGGTATGACTCTGCATATATACATAAAAATATATTACAAAATTAACAAAGAAAGGTTACTTGTATCAGAAAGAAAACCAAGAGAATGGAGATAGAAGCTAGGCTTCTTCTTAAGTGTGACTTTAGAACCATGTAAAATGTTTTAGGTAACACAAAATTAAATTGAAAAGGTAACCCTTAGAAACAAAAAATGAAATGAAATAAACCTCAGTGTTAATCTAGATGGCAGCATAATTGTTAATTATCGGAGGTGACTTGAAAGCCCTATACTTTGAAGACAAAGTGAAAGGGAAATAGAAAAAAATTTTATTGGAGTACAGCTGATTTATAATGTCGTGTTAGTTTCAGGTATACAGCAATGTGAATCAGTTACACATACTTGTTTTGTAGATAAGTTCATTTGTAACATTTTTTAGATTCCACTTATAAGCAATACCATGTATTTGTATCTTACTTCACCTTGTGTAACAATCTCTAGGTCCATTCATGTTGCTGCAAATCACATTTCATTCTTTTTTTGTGGCTAACTAATATTCCATTGTAGATACGCACCACTACCACATCTTCTTTTATCCATTCCTCTGTCGATGGACATTTAGGTTGCGTCTTATGTCCTGGCTATTGTAGATAACACTGCAATGAACATTGGGCTGCATGTATTTTTTTGAATTATGATTTTCTCTAGATAGATGCCCAGGACTGGGATTGCTGAATGATATGGTAGCTCTATTTTTAGGTTTTTGAGGAACCTCCATACAGCTCTCCGAAGTGGCTATACCAATTTACCTTCCCAACAGTGTAGAGGTTTCCCCTTTCTTCACACCCTCCTCAGCATTTACTGTTAGTATTAATAGATTTTTGGATGATGGCCATTCTGACTGGTGTGAGGTGATACCTCATTGTAGTTCTGATTTGCATTTTTCTAATAATTAATGGTGCTGAGCATCTTTTCACGTCCTTTTTTGGCTATGTGTACGTCTCTTTGGAGATATGTCTATTTAAATTTTTCACCCATTTTTTGTTGGGTTGTTTCTTTTGACATTGAATTGCATGAGCTGTTTCTATATTGCTTTGGCCCAAAAGTTCACTCAGGTTGGAAAAACCTGAAAGAAACTTTTGGCCAGCCCAGTTATTTTGGAGATTAATCTTGTTGGTTGCCTTGTTTGCAAACATTTTCTCCCATTCTGAGGGTCATCTTTTCATTTTGTTTATGGTTTCTTTTGATATAGAAAAGCTTTTGAGTTTAAAATTTTGTTTTTAATAGTCACAATGTGCTCTTGATATTGTTAATTCTAACTGATGTCCTTAAGAATCAGAATTTCTTACACAGGACAAAGAAAGATTTAGATTTAAGACAGAAGAGATTAAATATATTCGGTCTTAGTTGTGGCATGTGGGATATAGTTCCCTGACCAGGGATTGAACTTGGGTCACCTGCATTGGGAGCACAGACTCTTAGCCATTGGACCACCAGGGAAGTCTCCATGATGCATTTTATTTTAAAAACAAAACATATAATTCCAAATTCCATCTACTAAAGAGCAATAACCAAATATAAGCAATGAACACCCTAAATAGCCACTGTTCTTTAAGAAATGACTGACTCCAGATCTAGGGCAGGAGGTATATAAAATGAGTCTGCAAAACCTTCACATACTAATAGCAAGGAACCTATGAAAATTACCTGTGTCATGTTAAAAAGAATGAAAAGTCAAATAAAAAAGGCCAAAAATCAAACAATTTGAATATCAACAGGCTAATATTGCAAAGGTTTTACAACAAATATACTAAGATTTATGAATTAAAATACTTCAAATGTGCTTCTCAAACTATGTAATGCATCAGAGTTTAGTTTTCACCCCTATTTTTCAATCACAGACTAATATTTGTACAATTTTTTAAATCAAATAAAAAACAAACAAAAAAAAAACACAAGCCCAATTTTAAAAATTATTAGATCCAAGAGACAGTCTCTGTCAAACTATGACAAATTTTCTTTCAATTTCTATACTAATACCAGTTTGTGGACTGGCCCTAGATCCAAAGACCAAATTCTGAGTAGCATGGCTTTACAGAACTGAATATCTCATGCCTTCATTAAATAAAATACCAGAAGAGAGTCTATATATTAAAAATAATTTAAAAGACCTATGAACACTAACAATATATGGATCTAACTTTGATCTTGATTCAAACAGTAAAAGAAAAATCATCTATGAAAAGAGTAGAAAACCTTAACTTGATTTATATTTAAGAAATATTTTTAATCATATTATTGGTTAAGAATCCTTATCTTTTAGAAGTACATAATGAAACATTTATGGGTAAAATGACATGCTGAGATTTACTTTACAATAATATGAGAAGTGAAACTAGGTAATTAAGTATGTACAGATAAATTACTGTATTCTTTTTAAAATGTTTGGTATTTTCTACAATCATATAATAAAACATTAAAAATTTTAAGTTTTAAAACCTGACTCTCATACCTTTTTTTTATTTTTTAAAAAGAACACAAAAGGAGCCATTTTGGAGAGGCAAACTTCCACATTCTATGCCAGAAAGGGTAAAAAAATCTAAAAGCTTTTATAGAGGTGTTGAACACAAACTTTTCTTGTTCTGGTGTCTAGATAAAGAAATGATACAAACTATGATGAAATGATAAAAGTTGCAATCCAATTATATCCCTTAACTAACTAGTAAGCAGAAACTACTATGCAAATAACAGTCCATGTATGTAGTGTGAATAAAGGGAGGGAGATATTTCTAAGCTTTCCTGGAAAAGTCTAGAATACTTCTAAGATTATATGCAAAGAATATATGCTTATTTTGGGGGGGAGGGAATATAAATAAATAAAAATCTTTTATATTTGGAGCCCTAAGATAAAACTCCCCAGTCTTAAATACAGGAAGCAGTAGAGACCACTGTTTACTACATATAGTGAAAACATCAACATCTGTTGCCAGGATGAAACACATAAAAATCACCTCTACTATACTTTCACACTTTAACAGTTCCTTTTAATTTAGAATCTCAATGTCCTGATAACTAATTTGAAGGAAATAGGTGTTTCACATTTAAACTCTAATGATTAGGGAATTCCCAGGTGATCTAGTGGTTAGGACTATGCTTTTCACTGCCATGCCCTGGGTTCAGTCCCTAGTTGGGGAACTGAGATCCTACAAGCCACAATTCAGTTAAGTTCAGTTGCGCAGTTGTGTCCAACTCTTTGCGACCCCATGGACTACAGCACACCAGGATTCCCTGTCCATTACCATCTCCCGGAGGTAACTCAAACTCATGTTCGAGTCAGTGATGCCATCCAACCATCTCATTATCTGTCGTCCCGTTCTCCTACCTTCAATCTTTGCCAGCATCTGGGTCTTTTCAAATGACTCAGTTCTTTGCATCAGGTGGCCAAAGTATTGGAGTTTCAGCTTCCAATGAATATTCAGGACTGATTTCCATCAGGATTGACTGGTTTGATCTCTCTGCAGTCCAAGGGACTCTCAAGAGTCTTCTCCAACACCACAGTTCAAAGCATCGATTCTTTGGCACTCGGCTTTCTTTATAGTCTAACTCTCACATCCATACATGACTCCTGGAAAAACTATAGCTTTGACTAGATGGATCTTTGCTGGCAAAGGCACAGCCAAAAATAAAAGTTCCAGACCAGGGAGTGAATGAATGCAAGCCTTGGCAGTGAAAGGGCCTGCCAGCACCTTATACTCCAATCTTTTAACAGTTCTCTCTCTTGTCACCTCATTCACCTATATGGTTTTAATAATAACAGACTCTTGGCATTCACAAGCCATCCCTCTCCACACACCATTCCTTAGTTTGTGGCATGTGGTAATATGCCATTTGCTCAGGTTATGGTTAAATGTGAACCGGTTGTGCATTTGGTGTGGTGAGCAACAACAGAAAAATGCTGTCTTGTGTTCTTCATTTCACTCTTGCTGACTGTGAGGTAATGTGTGCTGTTATGGGAGTAAGAGATCTAAAAAAGTAGTTGTTTTTTGTTTCCTTCCATTCACCCTCTTTGTTAATTAGTGCATTCTAATAAAAAGAGGGGCTTCCCTGATGGCTTAATGGTAAAGAAACTGCTTGGCAATGCAGGAGCCACAGGTCTGATCCCCTGGGTTGGGAGAAGGAAATGGCTACCCATTCCAATATGCTTGCCTGAAGAATTTCACGGATGGAGGGCCCTGGCAGGCAGGCTACAGTTAACAGGGTCACAAAAGAGGCGGACATGACTGAGCAACTGAAACAGCAGCAATATAGAGAGATGGAAGGATCAGATATTAAAAATTCAAAGTCAGTAGGCTTGTGTCTAAAGCACGGTTTCATCTACAACTTCACAGTACAGGACTGTGTCCAGCACCTAACAATTCAGTGAGTTCCTTTTTTGCACCTTTATAACTCCCTACGAACATATTCAATAATAATTCAAATGGTTTACAAAGCAATTCCTGTGGTCTATAGGAAGTAAAAGTTGTTCTGTCTTCGCAGTTTCAAGGTAATATTAAATGACTTGCTAGGAATCACCTTAAATGGATCCTGGCAAAAACAGCTGTTACCAGAAGCAGAAAAAGTATCTTTCTAATCCATTAAAAAAGTCAAGCAAAGTTTTACTCAAACCTACCCGGGCTAAGCATGCCATAATTAAATTTTATTCAGAAAAACTGAAAATTTTAAGAAATCTTTGACCTGTACAAGGATAGCTGAAGCAAAGCCAAACACTCATGCCTTGATTTCTAGTAACATAAGAAAGAATGCCCAAGCACCCCAAGTCACAGTGGTTGTAGAGAAGCCTGTCTGCAACCAGAGGCAAGCAAGTCTTTAATAAATCAGCCACAAACACAACATAATATTTTAAATATACAGTAGGAACATTTATTTTAACACTTCTAAAAGATATTTCTCCATGCCTGATGATTTGATATAAAAATCAAACCCATCATACTTTCCCCATCAGTCTCTCTACATCAAGGGCAATCAGAAATTTGTACAACATGAATATTTGCTTCTGAAACAAAAATTACAAATTAAGTGATAACAAAAATACACAAATCAACTGGACCCTAAACAAATTTCTAATGAATTCTTCCCCCCACCCCATCAATCACCTAGAGCTTCTTTCTTCAGCCTCATTCTGCTCCTTTTCCTTTCTTTGCTTGGCCATGAACTTCTGTTAAAAGTAATTCACAATATAAAATATTTATTAGATGTTGCTTTGCTGTGTTACAATTATACCTAATACATTTCATTGTATTTACAATTTATAAAGCTTGATCCTACAAAATAAAGATTAAAGAAACACAGTGCCTTACATTAACATTACTTCTTTTCATCAATCAATTGGTATTTATGATATACTATGCATTATATTGATGCTTGGGGACTCAGTGGTCAACAGGATAGGTAAGACCCTTTACCTTATGGAGCTTACATTCTAGTGGGGAAAGAGAAATAATAAACAAATAATTAAGATAATTTGGGGGGTGGCAGTAAGTATTATAAGGGAAAGAAAGACAGTGTAGTAAATGAGACTGATCCTTTTTTAGGTGGGAGGAGTTCTCTATTTTAGCTAGGTCTTTTCTCTGTCAAAGGCCTTTCAGGGAAGCTGTTGCTTGAGCTGGGATTTAAAAGATGATGAAGAACCAGTTAGACAAAAGGGGTCGCGAAAGGGCAAAAGAATAGTAATATAAAGGTGCAAAGGGGCCCTTAATATAGGAAAAATAAAGAGACAAAAAAGCTGGAATACAGTGAGCAATAATACGAGGTCAGAGAAGCAGAAAAGAATCAGATCATGTAGGGCCTTAAAGACCCACAATAAGAAGTTTGGATATTATTCTAAGGATAATATGACGCCAGTGGAAGATTTCAAGTGGAAAAGTGATATGTTAACTTAAGAGCACAGGTAACATAGTACAATGTTTAAGGGCATAAGCCTAGAATAAAACAAAAGTAAATGTGCCCCTAACTAGCTATGATGATCTAACTAACTAACTAACTAACTAACTAACTAACTAACTACAGTGATCTTGGGGATTAGATCCTTGGGTTTAGATACTCTTTAAATTGACTGGGGGATTGAATAAGCTTCCAGCAAATAAATAACAGCTCAAAGAATGTTAGGTGAGTGTCTGTGCCACAAATAAAACATAGAGGATATTATAGACCAACTCTTAAACATTCAGGAGGAAATGAGAACCACTGTTTCAACTATGGCTAATGATGATTCTCTGGGGTTGTAATCTAAATGCTTCCCAAAGATATATACAACTTAAAAAGGGGGTAGTGGAAGTAATGAAATGGTTTAAATAAAGTTAAGTGGATTCTTTGGGTAGACAAGTCCAAAACATTAATACATTATGTGTCCATGCAAGAGGGCATCAGATTATATAGTTTCCTACACTTTAATGGAGTGTCACATGGGACTAGTAATACACAAAATCTATTCTGGCAAATGCTACCAGAAAATAAGGAATAAAAGCTAGAAGTCAGTGGCAAGATACAGTGAAGGACACAAATAAACTGGCACAAACCTTAAAAGGCTGTTTCAAGGGGAAAGATTGGGGATTAGATCCTTGGGTTTAGATACTCTTTAAATTGACTGGGGGATTGAATAAGCTTCCAGCAAATAAATAACAGCTCAAAGAATGTTAGGTGAGTGTCTGTGCCACAAATAAAGCATAGAGGATATTATAGACCAACTCTTAAACATTCAGGAGGAAATGAGAACCACTGTTTCAACTATGGCTAATGATGATTCTCTGGGGTTGTAATCTAAATGCTTCCCAAAGATATATACAACTTAAAAAGGGGGTAGTGGAAGTAATGAAATGGTTTAAATAAAGTTAAGTGGATTCTTTGGGTAGACAAGTCCAAAACATTAATACATTATGTGTCCATGCAAGAGGGCATCAGATTATATAGTTTCCTACACTTTAATGGAGTGTCACATGGGACTAGTAATACACAAAATCTATTCTGGCAAATGCTACCAGAAAATAAGGAATAAAAGCTAGAAGTCAGTGGCAAGATACAGTGAAGGACACAAATAAACTGGCACAAACCTTAAAAGGCTGTTTCAAGGGGAAAGAATGTACACTGTGTAAGGATACTTCAGTACTCTGACTGTGGTAACAACACCTGAAGATTCTGAGGTGTTAACGATAAAACACTCACCTCTGTATTTTGCTTATGACGTGTACTCTTGCAGTGATTCGTCATTGCTTTCTCATCTGAGTAGAAGAGGGAACAAATTGGACAGAAGAATCCAGCCTTCGGTACAAGAAAGTCTAAATCTTGAAAATTCAGAAAGAGAGAAGGGGAAGAGGATGGGGGAAAAAAAATCAATGATTTTTTTTTATAGCTGTGTAATAAATTTATCTAAACATGACAAATATATTAAGCACAGCATACATTTATATATATACAAACACAGCGATCAAGAGCAATTAAATCTCTAATCACAAAACTGAGGTCTTTATTTTTAAATGAATTCTACAATATCCCAGAGCTTCCAGGATGCCAGGGTACTGGAAAAGAACCTGGCAGTCTTTGAAATAAATCTCTTAAGAATCCACTGGGGTTTTTTTTTTTTAAAGAAACGGTATAATGGTATGAAGAGGCAAAATGACAGGCAACTATCTGCTTGAGGAATATATTAGGTAAACAAAGAAGGTGCCCCCCAGCTCATTTGAGCTGGCCATAAACAAAGTTTGCTAGCTAAGCTTTTACAGCATGTCCTAATACTCAACTATAATTTCTGTCTGGGAAAGTATAACTCAATTTTTACCAGAGCAACAAAGAGAGTACATATCCCAGACTTCAAGAGTGCAATAAAAATATCTTTGCCAGGTCAAAACACAGAAATGCCAGTGTGCAAAACTTGTTAATTTCCACTCTAATCATCTAAGCAAGGTCACCACAATACTTATCTAAACAACAGAATACTTATTATGATACTGAATTTTTATTTCATGTGGATAAGGAAAAATGTTATTTTTACCCTACCTTCAGGGACTTCAGGTGCCACTGATCTCCCTGAAGAGTCCTCAGTCTTCTTGCGTTTCTGTTCTGGTTCTGAATCCTCTAATCCAGATTCTTCACCAACTAAAGTCATTAAATTTTTCAAAGAAAAAAGTCACTCAAAATAGATTTACAGATTTGTCTTTTAATTTTTACGAAGTTGTGTTGGTTTCTGCTATACAGTAATGTGAATCAGCCATAATTATGTATAAACACACATCCCCTCCCTCCTGAGCCTCCCTCTCCCTCCCTCCCATTCCACCCTCCAGGTCATCACAGAGCACCACACTGGGTCCCTGTGATACAGCAACTTCTTACCAACTATCCACTTCACACGCAATAGTGTATATATGTTAATACTACTTTCTCCATTCATCCCACTCATTCTCTCCCCCAGCTGTGTCTACAAAGTCCATTCTTTACATCTGCATCTCCATTCCTTCACTGCAAATAGGTTCATTTCTAGATTTTGTGAGGCTAATATCAGATAATCTCTGCCTTCAAAGACTAATTTATGGATCATCTCTCTAAGTAAACCTTTCTCACCCAACTATATTTCCAAGAGTCTTTATATAAGGAATAAATGGGTAAATTGGTTCAACCTTATTAAATGAATTTAAGGATATGGGACTGAAGTTTAACAGCATATTTATACATGATTCCAGAAAAAATTCAAAGGTTAATGGGAGAAGTTCAAGTTCTACATTATGGATAACAGTTAGCATGTGATGCAAAAGTGCTGGCTTGGGAGAAGAGTGTAGGTTAAAGGGAAAAGCACACGAGCAGAGAATAATTCTGACAGCCTCTACAGAAGCCATTCCAACCAAGAAAAACAGTCTACACTGATGGACTGAGACCCTTGTTAGACTGAATTACAAGTAGAATTACAAACATTCAAATCCAGCAAAGTGAATTAACATCTAAGAAAGCACTCAATGTTATCAGCAGACTGCATAATATGATCTTGGGGAAAGACAAAAACAAAAACTGGTTCCAAGCAATTCTAGTTATCCTCAGTAGGTGAAATACCTAACTGTTATATAGCACTTGACAGATCTTTTTCATATATAGATCCCATTTGGTTTTTAACACATGTGAGATAGGCAGGTCAAATCATTATTATCCATATTTCTTCACAATGGAGAAAGAAAAACCAAAAGAGGTAAGAAACTGATTTTGTTCAAGGTTGCATAGCCAGGAAGTGATGGGAGATTTGTGACTTCAAGTTCAGTGCTCTGCCCATGTAACTGGGCCACCGTTTACCACATCTGAGGGGATGGCTAGAAACTATTGAATTCATTACTTACTCTTCTTTTATTCCTTTCAATTTTAACAGTCATCAAGTCCCAAAGAGTTGATTAAAAAGACTGTCTCCCTTTTCTTGACTTGATAGTTAAAACAGCCTCCAATCTCTTGCTCTAAGAATTTATTCCCTTACCAGAGTAACAAGCTTTCTCAAACATATTTGCTCCTACCATTCCAAAGGCACCTTTATCTAATAATAAAAACAATAATGACATGTATTATTAATATATAGTTACATAATAATTAAAAGATTAAAACAATTATTTTAAATTTAAAATTGTTTAAGAAATGGCTTTCTTAAGCTAGGTTCTTCATCAAACATATTGCCCAATAATGAAAATAAATGGTTACAAAAGCAGTAAAGAAGTGATGCTTGCTTTATTTTTCTGTGGAAATGAGGCAGTACTAAGCAAGTTGATAGCTGAAGCTGCCGCATCACAACAGAAATCCTGAGGGGGGACAAGCTCTGATGAAATCATGCTAGAAGCATTTGTCAGTTAGTAAAACCACTGACGGGTTTCCCTGGTGGCTCAGTGGTAAAGAATCTGCCTGCAATGCAGGAGACACGGTTTAACCCCTGGGTTGGGAAGATCCTCTGAAGAAGGAACGGCAACTCACTCCAGTAACCTGACCTGAGAAATCCTGTGGACAGAGGCACCTGGCAGACTAGACTGTGGGGTCACAAGAGCTGGACACAACTGAACAACTAAACAACAACAAAACCACTGACAATGGTTTGGTATCAAGGAGAGGTTAATGGAGAAGAATAGACAGAGGAGGAGTACCCAGTTAGCCAAGAGGGAGGGCATCAAGAAAGAGCACATGATCAACAGTAACAGATGATACAGAGAAATCAAGTAAGACTAAAATGAAAAAAACTATCCAGTTTGACAGAAGGGTTTCAAGTTTCTATCACACCTGGTCAGGAAACGGGAAAGGAAGGAGGCCTAGATAAACTGTGGAGCAGCACGAAGGACCCAGCTGAGAGCTAGGTCAATGAGCCTGGACTGCATCACAGCTGGCGATCTTTCCTTAGAGAACATGGGATACAAAAGCAAGAGGGCATTGAGGATGCTGCAGAGAGAATGGTACAAGGAATTTAGCATTTTGCTATGAATATAACAGACACTGGAGAAGGGCATGGCAACCCACTCCAGTATTCTTGCCTGGAGAAGCCATGGACAGAGAAGCCTGATCCACAAGGAAGAATCAGCTAGTAAACGATCCCTACTTGATGCTGCAACATGGTCAGAATAACCTTTCATGGATCATTTCCATGAAAATTAGTAACAAATTACAACAGGATCGCCTATTATTCTATTATCCCACTCCACTAATCACTTTAATGTAAAGATAAAAACCTTTACCTAGATCTAATTATTAATAGGCTGCCTCCCCTCACTCCCATCCCTTGCCCTGTTCAATATTTTTCGATACTTTTCTTAGTAGATCTTTGGAACTTTAACCACCACCACCTCATGTCGTGTTACTCTCTCTCCCACTTCAATTAATCTTAGTTTACCTTCACTAAGTTGGAAGGCCTCTTCATCTTTCACTGGTTCCACTGTGACAGCTTTTTCTGATGGTGGCATTTTTCCAATTCTAACTCTCTTGGTTGGCACTGTAGCTTTAAAGAGAAAGACTAATTTCTTACAGCAGTAACAGTGTTTAAATTAGTTTTAATTCTGAATAACAACTTTAATACTTCTTTGCAAACAATAGAGACCTATACAAATTTGGAAAGGAAACCTATTTCTAATAAAAAAAAAATAGGAGAATTCTATTTTAAAACATTCAGTATTAGTCTAAGGATTCTCCTTTCATTTTCCCATTTATCTTGACCAAAACTATACTTTCCTACCTGCTTTTCTTAAAGAACCTACACACATTTTTTTCTATTTTGTTCCACAAGTCTGTGGGATCTTTCTAGTATTTTTTACTCTTAGTATGGCTAAATCACTCAAGATTTCTGTATTGGAAATTATCTTGCTCTCCCTAAAGTACTAAAAGTGAACTGACCTAGCATTGTATACCATCAAATTACTTAAAAGTGAAATGGGACCTTTACAAATTTTCCTAAATTCTGTGTCTAAGCAAAAACTAAGAGGCAGTCAGATATAAACAGCCTTCTACTTACCAAAGCTGTATTATTCTCAATAATACAAATATAATATTGTCATTCCAATTCTAATCTGGGTACCCTAGTCTGCCTTCTGTTTTTGTTATTTTTTCCTTGAGATACAGTAACTTAGGCATAAGATCTGAACTAAGACAACTTAGTGAATCTTGAACATATTTCTTTGGAAAATATCACTTGGCCACAACTATCTGTTGGCTAAACAATGACATTATCAGTAATACTGTAAATATATTTTAAAAAATTTAAATGTAGTCCTCTCATAAAAAAAAAAAAATTACCACTTCTAAGTATCTACCTGCTGAACGTCTTTCAATCACGGTTTTCGGATTTTCTTCCATAACATTCTCATTTACTGGGCCCACCTGAGACAAAGCTTCAAGTTTTGTCTTCTTTTTGTCCACAGTTCTCTTTTTTCTATCACCTCTCTTATCAGTGGGATGGTCATTTTTCCTCTGTGTTAACTCAATTTTTAAATCATTGTCTCCATCTTCTTCCTCCCCAACTTCATCAACAGTAACAAAATTAAGCTCTTCTTTAAGGTTGTTAAAATCTGCCAGAGAGTCTTCATCCTCTTCAGTTACTTCATCTAAAGTCACTAAATGCAGATCACTGCTGTCATCCTGTATTTCATCTACAGTAACTAAAGTAGAAGGGTCTTCAGGCATCTGAGAAGAAATGAACCCAATAGAATCCCTTCCAGTATTTCCCTCATCTCCTTTAGTATTTAAAGCAGCAAAACTGATATCTGCCGACTCGTTTAAAGGTAGCTCTTCTACTTCCCCAATTTCATCCACAGTTACCAAGCGTTCCTGTTTGAGAAGATCTTGCTCTTCAGCCACAGACAACACAGTAACATCTTTAGTTTCACTGTGAGAAATGCAATCATCTTGATCAATTAACTCATCTAATGTAAGAAGTGAGTTTGAATTTTTAACCATGTCTTCCACATTTATGTCATCTTCATCAATTACTTCATCCACAGTGACCAGAGCTTGTGCTAGCTGTGCGGCTGCATCTTCCTCTTCCCCAATCTCATCCAATGTTACAAAAGATAACTCTCCCTCAACCACACGAGGAGCAGAGATCTTTCCCTTCTTCTTCTTTAAGTTCAGTTCAGAGGAAGGGGTATTTTTGAGAGCTTCTTTCCTTTTTCCCTTCAGTGGATTCTGCTTGACTTGAAAAGGATTTACTTCTTCTATAACCTCATCCACAGTAACAAATTCATCCAAATTAAATGGAAATAAAGGTTCCTGTTGGAAAAATTTTTTTTAAAAATCAGAATTGTGAACAACTGCTGATTAACTGGCTAGGTCCCAAATAGTTTCAATAAATGTGCATGACATATCTATCATTTGTGAGAATTTCAAGAGACAGTATGAGAATTTCAGCATAGAGATGTTTCCTAAAGCTGCCCCAAAAAGCCAAAGAGTAAACAATGCCAAAGGTAAATCCTAACTGTGTCAATTCAATTTCAGCAAGATTAAAATTATTTCCTAAATGATGTATGAGTTTTAAAATATGATGCACAAAAATACTGCATTTAAAGCACTTATCAAACAATATAATGTCAAAGCTTACAGCTTCCATATGTTAAATGATATCTAGCAAGAGTTTTGGAGACTTCATAGACTACTAAAAGCACTTCAAATGAAACTAGAAAATTAACAGCTAACTAGATTGTTCCACTGACGAATTTACACATATAATACATATTTTAAGATACGCAATATTAAGATACTGGCATACTTTGCTTTATTGTACTTTGCAGATACATTTTTTACAAACTGAAGATTCATGAAAATCCTGTGATAAGCAAGTCTACTGGTGCCACTTTTTCAACAGCATCTAACTTCATGTCTCTGTCACATTTCAGTAATTCTCACATTATTCAAACTTTTTCATCATTATTATATTTGTTATGATGATCTCTAGTTAGTGATCTTTGATGTTTCTATTTATAAAAAGATTGAGTTACTTAAGGCTCAGATGGTAGTTAGTGTTTTTTGGCAATAAGGTATTTTAAAATTAAGGTATGTACATTTTCTTAAGACACACAATGCAACTGCACACTTAACAGAGTACAGTATAGTACAAACAACATACATGCACTGGGGAACCAAAAAATTCATGTGACTCACTTTTATTGTGATATTCACTTTACTATGGCAGTCTGGAACCAAATTTGTAATATCTCTAAGGTATGCCTATATAAGGTTTATGTTTTGAGAAAGTTACATGGAAAACTTATTACTAAGACTTAATGACAAATATAACTACATTTAAAAAAAAAAAGAACAGTTATCTGTGATTTGAAAAATGGTGCCAATACTAAAGAAAATCAATTCCTGGCAGGCCTCCTACACATTTAGTATGCTATCAATGGTCAATTACTAGCAATCATAATAATGGCATTAGAATACACACCCCATTAATTTGGAGGCAGGAGGAATCTGTACACAATTGTATGATCAATTTATTAAGCCATGAAACAAACCATAATCCTTACTTCTGGCTTTTAAAACTAGTAACATTTCTCCTTGCCCTAATAAAATAGGTTCAAATTTATCCCCTACCAGAAGAAAAACATAAAATAACTGAAAAAATAATCTATGAGTAACAGAAACCTAAAATACCAAATAGCCAAATAAAAATTATAGTATGTTTATTTGGCAGTAGATGTCAGTAACCCTTAAGAGTCCATCTAGTTAGAGTAAACTGAACCATACCAAAAGGACCACAAATTGGAGAGGACTCCAGTCAAAAGTCAATCTCCTTTACACACAAGAGTTTACTCTGTATTATAACCTAACTCCTACTGAGAGGAGACTGTAGGTGTCTCCCTTTCTAATTCCCTTTCCATCCTTGTATAACTTTTTGCCCCACACTAAGAACACAAACTATTTAGCTTAGCTCAAGGTCAGAAAACAAACTGGTAGTAAGGTCAAAAATAAAATATCTCATTCCTGTCCCTTGCTCTATACCAAGCTAATAGGAGAGACACAAATTACAAGGTAGACAAACTCTCATGGAATGATGAACAGATGGGTCCATATTAGTGGACTGTTTCTTACCTCTTTGGATTTTGAACTTCTACCAGTGGTGTTTTTAGGATTCTTAGTGTTTTGCCCTGTCAAAGTCTGAAATATTAAATAAGAAACACAAAAAACAGAATTTACAACTCGATTATTAATGTCCTTTAAAACCAAAAAAAAAAAAAAAAGCAGAAAGCAAATATTACCCAAACACATTTAATTATACAAATATTTAATAGGTATTTCAAGTGAAGTCAACAATCATTTTAACAGTACAGGCATCATCTCCATAAACTGTAGTTAAAATCAGTTTTACTGATCTTTTCTTCTCAATAGCTACAATGTTTATCAGTAAGTTGATAAATGAAGCTTCAATTTAAAAGAAAAAAGTTTCCCATTTCAGAGCAGGATGTTAAATCACTGCAGGAGATTCACTGAAGAATTTTTTTTTAAATGCAAAGTTTTATTACTGACCATATTTTATCCAAATAGGGCTTTCACATGTTAATTACAAATTTGAGCTTATTATTCTGTCTACTGGCTTAAATCAATGGAGTCATTTAAGAAAGGGAAAAGGGAGTTTGGGGGCAAAAGGAATGAGGAGATGAACGTATAAAATGGAATTACATCTCCTACTCCTTAGCTACAATAGAGAAACTAATCACTTCAAAGACACTTAGCCATTCTTCCTACCCTCCTCACCTTATTGTTGCTGTCATCCCGTTTCATGACTGAAGGTTTAGCCTCTGTTTCCTGAGGCTGTTTTGTAACATCCCTGTAATCCAGTTTAGAATCTTTGCCTTGCAGGGCTGAGATCCTTCCACTGCTTCCTCTGGTAACACCGCTCTGAATGGGTTTTAATTTACTGCTGTTTTCAGCCAAGCCTGACCTGGCACTTGTAGCTTTAAGTAGACCTGATTCCTTGGCTGAAAGCCTCTTTTCAGCATTTATTTGATCTCTGAGTACAGATTTTAGAAAACTTTTCTGGTTTTCAGATTTTGAAGCTGTAGCTTTTGCCTTTGTAGAAGAGACCACATCAGCCTTGATGCCTGATTTACTGCTAGATGCATTTGATGCAACCAGCATACTAATTTTACTAGTTTCATCAGGCTTATTGGCCTGAACCACTGTCTTATTTGGACATGCCTTGGTCACTGAGTTTTCTGCAGGTTTTTCTTTCACTGCTGCTACAACCTTATCCAGCTTCTCTGCAACCATCCTATCATTCTTCTCAGCCTTCTCTCTTCCTATTTTCAGATCCATTCTGGCTTCCTTAGTATTCAATTCATTCTCCTTCTCATCCATGTTAGTTTTTTCAGAAATTCCCTTTGTGCTCACTGCTTGCTCATCCCCAGTAGAAATCCCAGGTACTAAGGCCACAACACAAGTAGATGGTACTATTTCTGAAACAGTTTCTTGTTTGTCTACTTCAGCTATAGCTTCAATCACAGACTGTGTAATCCCAGAAAAGAAATCTGCTTCAGATGGAGAGTCTTCTAGAATTCCTTTGATGTTCTTTTCTTCTATAAATGTATTATCACATGTTGATAACTCTGTTTCCGGGTTAATAATTTCTGTCTCTTCCTTCTCAAAGTCACCGGCATATACCTGCTGATTTAAAACAGAGTCCCCTACATTTTCAGTGAATAAGTCAATACTGGCTGACGTGGACGCTACAAGAGGAATTTCCACTTTGACCTCCTCTCCTTGAGTTTCAACTTCAAATGTTTCAAGAGCAAAATCAGAGACACATAGTGTTTTTTCTGGTTCTTCCTCAAAAGGCTCTTTCTGCTGTATAAAAGTTCCTGTTTGAACGTTGGGAACAGATTCTTCTTCAACCTCACTATGTTTAATAGAGGGACTATCAGCTGCTGTCTGCACCTCACTTTCATCAACTGGACTGTTTTTCAAGTCAGAGCTAAAAGTATTTAAAAACAAAAAGAATACAAACAAAAACACAAACAAAAATCAAACTATGATGAGAATTCAACCATCATAAATAATCATGCCAACGCTGCTAAAACTTCCTAATGCAATAGCGATAAGCACTGGGAAATCCAATCAATCAACATTAAAATGGTTAAGAAGTTTTGATGTAAATATATAGATAACAAAATTTTAAAAAGAGCCTCCACTACACTAATGATTTAGCTCAATGAAATAATTAGCTCAATGAAATAATGGCAATATTATGACTACTGGTATGAACTTTTTACCCACGTAAGTTATAACCATTTTTTCCCCTTCTGTGTCATTTCCCCCCCTGATATTAGAAGGCGAATGTGAATTCAAGACATTGCAAATTATTAATAGATACTATCTTCCCAACAGTAAAATAAGTTCATGGTTCATAAAGCTAATGACTCATGCTTTAAAATTTACAATTTTCTAAGGGAGCCTTACCAAAAAGGAATATAAAGAGAAAGTGCAAGTTCACACAATATGTCACCTCTTTCTTTAGGATGTGAAACAGATTTGTTTTTAATCTCCCAAGAACTTTATTTATTAGTAATACTTACAAGAAAACTTTCTTGGGAAATATCTTTTAAATACTCTTGTCAGAAATTAAGTTTGTGGCAAAGCTGATAGGATCACCTTTACATAAACAGGTAGTCTTATTATAAAGTATGTAGGTGCCTTTGCTATATCACAAGAAGAAAGATGTTAAATCTTTCCAGTTATAGAGAATAATTAAAGATACACTACTGTTCAGTTACCGCAAGATGATGTATTACCTGTGTCCTGAGACATTAATAATATTTTAAAAGTTTGGAAAAATGGCTATCATATTAGGGTCTAATCATATGAGGCAATAAACAATTCCTCCCTCCCTCAAAGATGGTAAACTTAAAATTCCAAAGGAGAAAACTTTCCTAAGAGATCAGAGAAACACCTCTTGACTATGAAAGCTGTTAAGGCAAAGAGTTTCAAGAATTTATTTAAGTTAAAAAGTCAGTAACCATACACTTTAATCAAACAATATTCTATTCATCTGTATAAGCTACCCTTTGTATGCTGAAAAGATTTAAAGTCTTTTATTTGAAATAATTCGCATCCCTTATATTAAAATATAAAATGGCTGATTTTTGATGTCTCAAATTCTTAACACAAGTGAAGAAAAAACTTGTTGCCAAGCACAAATATGATAAAGAAAAAGCTGTGAAGTCTTTAATATTCAATTAAAGCAGTCATGAGAATATTACTTCTCAAAAGGTGAGTTTTCATTTTTAAGTTATAAATTTATAACTTCATTTGTAAGTTTCATTTTTAAGAGACTGATTTCCAATAATGATTTAATTCAAATTCCTGCCTCATTATAGAACTGCACATTAACCCTAAAGGCTTACAAGTTAGAGCTCTATGAAACTACCAATTTATCGGGCTTTAGAAAGAGAAAAACGGTGATTTTGATTCCTGGCTCTAGGATATAGCAAGTCCTTCCTGTTTACCATATTTGCATTTTGTCAGTAAATTTAAAAAGCTATTATCTTTTTAACATAATGAATCACTATGTAGGTCCACACTTCAGACAGACAGAGTCTACTTGGGAAAATAGCTTAATTCTATATTTGTTCTTGTGTGTCAGTCTTTTAAAATTATACTGCTTTCTTCACAAGATTCAAATAGTATCTAGTTTTCTGGCTAATATGGAAAAACCTTCAGTGTTCACCAAGTTAACTTGGAGAGTAAGTTTGAGAAGTCAAATAAGTGAAATTATTAACACCAGAGTCAAAAAATCAGTCTCTTGAAAGATCAAAGAAAACAAAATCATATTCTGGAAACTAGACCAAAAAAGGACTTCAGGAAGGCAGGATTCAGTACAGAGGTATCTAATTTCCCATTCCCGTCCTATCCCCATCCCACCATAACAGCAGGGTTTCAAAATCTTCAGAGAAGGTAAACAATAAAAGCTGGCCATGAGATCAAAGATTAACACCATACACACATTTTCCATGTTTGCACAATAAAGGACAGAAACTCTAAGGATCTAAAAGCAGCAGAAGAGATTAAGAAGTGGCAAAAATACACAGAAGAACTGTATAAAAAAAGTCTTAATGATCCAGATAACCATGATGGTATGGTCACTCATCTAGAGCCAGACATCCTGGGGTGTGAAAGTAAAGTGGGCCTTAGGAAGCATCACTACAAACAAAGCTAGGGTAGGTGATGGAATTTCAGTTGATCTATTTCAAATCCTAAAACATGGTGCTGATAAAGTGCTGCACTCAATATGCCAGCACATTTGGCAAACTCAGCAGTGGCCACAGGACTGGAAAAGGTCAGTTTTCATTCCAATCCCAAAGAAAGGCAATGCTAAAGAATGTTCAAACTACCGCACAATTGCACTCATCTCACATGCTAGCAAAGTAACACCCCAATTTCTCCAAGCGAGTTTTTAACAATACATGAACCAAGGACTTCCAGATGTTCAAGCTAGATTTAGAAAAGGCAGAGGAACCAGAGATCAAATTGCCAACATCCGTTAGATCATCAAAAAAGCAAGTTCCAGAAAAACATCTACTTCATCCACCTTACCTGCCTTGTGAGAAACCCGTATGCAGGTCAAGAAGTAACAGAACCAGAAATAGAACAGACTGGTTCAAAACTGGGAAAGGAGTAAGTCAAGGCTATATATTATTACTCTGTCTCTTTAACTTACATGCAAAGTACGTCATACGAAATGCCGGGCTTGATGAATCACAAGCTTGAACCAAGACTGGCAGGAGAAGTAGAAACAACCTTAGATATGCAGATAATACCACTCTAATGGCACAAAGTGAAGAGGAACTAAAGAGCTTCTTGGTAAGGGTGAAAGAATGAAAAAGATGCCTTGAAACTCAACATTCAAAAAATGAAGACCATGGCATTGGGTCCCATTACTTCATGGCAAATAGATGGGGGAAAATGTAGAAACAAGTGACAGATTTTATTTTCCTGGGCTCCAAAATCACTGTGGATGGTGACTGCATCCATGTAATTAAATGGATTGTTTGCTCCTTGGAAGAAAAGCTATGACAAACCTAGACAGCATATTAAAAAGTAGAGACATCAGTTTGCTGACAAAGGTCCATATAGACAAAGTGAAGGTTTTTCCAGTAGCCATGTATGATGTGAGTGTTTGACCATAAAGAAGGCTGAGTGCTGAAGAACTGATGCTTTCAAACTGTGGTGCTGGAGAAGACTTTTGAGAGTCCCTTGGACAACAAGGAGATCAAATCAGTCAATCCTAAAGGCAATCAATCCTGAATATTCATTGGAAGGAATGACGCTGAAATCTCTAATACTTGAGCCACCTAATGGGAGGAGCTGACTCATTGGAAAAGACCCTGATGCTGGGAAAGATTGAGGGCAGGAGAAGGGGTTGATAGCAGATGAGATGGTTGGACGGCATCACTGACTCAATGGACATGAGTTTGAGCAAACTCCAGGAGAAACAGTAGAGGATAGGGAAGCCTGGCGTGCTGCAGTCCATTGGGTTGCAAAGTCAAACACGACTTAGCAACTGAACACAACACAATTCCAAGAAACTTTAGAATGAGACGTTAACACTGAATATTAGCTACAGCCACTGAGTTTTTCCCAACATTATTAATGAACTTGCAAACACTTCATTTTGCACCCTTATTTGCAGTTTTAATCACATGATAAATAATGCTGACATGGAGGGCAGTTAGAACAGGTAAAATGCAGAATTTTATTAAATTATTAATATATCCATGTGAGATTTCTTTTAAAAAGGAAACACTTTACAGTAACTATAAACAAGAGGATCATATTAATGAATTAGTATCCACAAGTGCTTTAACAAAAAAAATATAATAAGCACCAGTATTTTCTCAGGATCACCCTAATAAAGAAATGTGAATAAAAAAGAGAGAGAAAAAAGAAATGTGAAGTATTCAGCAATATCCAACATCTCTTTTCTCTAATGTCATACATATATCAGAAAAAAATGACTGCAAAACGGAAATTGAAAAATTATTAGTGCTAGAACTTTAAAAACTATTTTCATAAGCTTAGACAACTATCTGTAAATTAAGACACACTTGATTTTAAAAGTCAAAACAATGAAAGAGAAAATGACCAAAACACATACAATAACTATTCTTCCACACATGAAAGAACTGTCAAGTGAAATATATAAAGTGGATTTTTGGAAGAGCTGACTTACTTACTAGCCAGTTACTGTGCCGAAACTGCAGGTCTATCTATATTATCACATGTGGCACTGTTACTTATTTTATAGCAAACACTGCTATTGGTTTCTACTTCTTAGGCATGTAAATGTAACTGGTACGATGATGTGCCACTTAAAAAAGTCTGTGTGAACACATATAGCAAATCTATTGCTTATAAATATACTTGTAATCTGCAATGATTTTGGAGCCCAAAAAGCTTTAAGATGTCACTTTTAAAGTCACTGCAGATGGTAACTGCAGCCATGAAATTAAAAGACGCTTGCTCCTTGGAAGGAAAGTGATGACCAACCTAGACAGCATATTAAAAAGCAGAGACATTACTTTGCCAACAAAGGTCCATCTAATCAAGGCTATGACTTTTCCAGTGGTCATGTATGGATGTGAGAGTTGGACTGTAAAGAAAGCTGAGCACCGAAGAATTGATGCTTTTGAACTGTGGTGTCAGAGAAGACTCTTGAGAGTCCCTTGGACTGCAAGGAGATCCAACCAGTCCATCCTAAAGGAGATCAGTCCTGAGTGTCCATTGGAAGGACTGATGCTGAAGCTGAACCTCCAGTACTTTGGCCACCTCATGAGAAGAGCTGACTCATTGGAAAAGACCCTGATGCTGGGAGGGATTGGGGGCAGGAGGAGAAGGGGACGACAGAGGATGAAATGGTTGGATGGCATCACCAACTTGATGCACGTGGCCTGGCGTGCTGCAATTCATGGGGTCACAAAGAGTCGGACACGACTGAGTGACTGAACTGAACTGAACTGATACTCGTAATCAGCTTTATCATTTAAAAGTCTCATTTTATAAAAATTGAGACAAAAACTTGTAAGATGTTCTGTTTCTCAGGCATCTTATAATTAGGCAGTGTATCAAATAAGATAAACTTCCCATATTTAAACACTCAAACTCCTCTTTCAAATTGATAAGCTCTTACTACAACTGACTGGGAGATAAGGGTAAACTCCTTACTATAAAAGGGAAAAAAATTCTGAATGAGTGATTCCCAGTGATGAGCAGTAAAACGGGGGTTTATTCACTGGGACAAAGGTGGTAATGAGTATGATATTTATCAGGATGAGAAAGTCACTAAGCAGAGGATATACCATATGCGGTCCAAAAAAGTGGTGAGTTACTAGTTTGTATAGACTCTGAAGAACAAACTTTCAACCTCTGAAAATATAAAGGAGTATACATATTATTTTGTTTTATACCAAAATACACACTAAATAGTATCTTCTTCATTTTAAAAACTCAATGAACTTTCAAAGGGTTCTACAAAAAAAATTGAAAATTTACTACTGTGCCTAACTATTTTGAAATAGAAAAGTCTAGCAAGTAATGATAACATAGTTGAATTGTTCAAGTCTTGGCAAAACATTTTATAAAGAAGTCAAATTTATATATTTAATACAAACTGTGTATATACATTCTCTTTTCCTTTAAAAAAAAAAAAAGAATTCAGTAAATATCTGAAAGAGACCAAAAAGAACAGTAACAAAAAGCCCCAAAGTCAAACATAGGCCCCTAAAACCCCCAAACAAAACAAAAAACACCCTGACAACATTCATATACACACAAAATTATCATGAAGATAAAACTTTTTGTTGTAAGTAAACAATTATCATAAAATATAGAAATAAAATTCATTAATTAACTTTTAAAAAAATGTTAGCAAACTTAAAGAAACATACCTTTCTTTTCCTAGTTCTGGGTCTTTCTCAGCTTTCACCTGTAATATAATTCCATATTTTATTAGCATTTATTCTACTGGATTTAAAATATTCAACTCATCAATGCAGTGTTTCCAGTTCTTAAAAATCTAAGCTAAAAAAAGACAAAACCATACCTGAAAAATAAATCAAAACAGGTAGTTCTCAGTGTCCATATAATTATCATGTTCTAGAACTTTTTCCCCCATTTTTAAAGAGTTCTAAACAAGGTTATACAGAATAAATGATACACAGAAATTAATGAAAAAAATAAGTTTCCATAATGGTGATAATAGGAAAAATTATAACTTTAAAAGCCTGGCAATGCCACTTTTGCTAAAGATAAAAACCTGAAATATCAACATCTTTTTGTGTGAAATTATAATTTTAAAAGACTCCTAGAGGAGAACATAGGCAAAACACTCTCCGACATAAATCACAGCAGGATCCTCTATGACCCACATCCCAGAATTTTAGAAACAAAAGCAAAAATAAACAAATGGGACCTAATGAAACTTAAAAGCTTTTGCACAACAAAGGAAACTATAAGCAAGGTGAAAAGACAGCCCTCAGATTGGGAGAAAATAATAGCAAACGAAGCAACAGACAAAGGATTAATCTCAAAAATATACAAGCAACTCCTCCAGCTCAACTCCAGAAAAATAAATGACCCAATCAAAAAATGGGCCAAAGAACTAAACAGACATTTCTCCAAGGAAGACATACAGATGGCTAACAAACACATGAAAAGATGCTCAACATCACTCATTATCAGAGAAATGCAAATCAAAACCACAATGAGGTACCATTACACGCCAGTCAGGATGGCTGCTATCCAAAAGTCTACAAGCAATAAATGCTGGAGAGGGTGTGGAGAAAAGGGAACCCTCTTACACTGTTGGTGGGAATGCAAATTAGTACAGCCACTATGGAAAACAGTGTGGAGATTTCTTAAAAAACTGGAAATAGAACTGCCATATGACCCAGCAATCCCACTTCTGGGCATACACACCGAGGAAACCAGATCTGAAAGAGACACGTGCACCCCAATGTTCATCGCAGCACTGTTTATAATAGCCAGGACATGGAAGCAACCTAGATGCCCATCAGCAGACGAATGGATGAGGAAGCTGTGGTACATATACACCATGGAATATTACTCAGCCATTAAAAAGAATTCATTTGAATCAGTTCTAATGAGATGGATGAAACTGGAGCCCATTATACAGAGCGAAGTAAGCCAGAAAGATAAAGACCATTACAGTATACTAACACATATATATGGAATTTAGAAAGATGGTAACGATAACCCTATATGCAAAACAGAAAAAGAGACACAGATGTATAGAACAGACTTTTGGACTCTGTGGGAGAAGGCGAGGGTGGGATGTTTCAAGAGAACAGCATCGAAACATGTATATTATCTAGGGTGAAACAGATCACCAGCCCAGGTTGGATGCATGAGACAAGTGCTCGGGCCTGGTGCACTGGGAAGACCCAGAGGGATGGGGTGGAGAGGGAGGTGGGAGGGGGGATCGGGATGGGGAATACATGTAAATCCATGGCTGATTCATGTCAATGTATGACAAAAACCACTACAATACTGTAAAATAATTAGCCTCCAACTAATAAAAAATTTTTTTAAAAAAAAGACTTCTATTAATATTTATAAGGGAGACTAGTTGACTTAAAAAGCTTTCTACACTAAACATACAGAAATGCTGGACAAATTTTAACAATAATCCTTTTAAACATATATCTGAACCACCAAGAAAGCAATGTCCTGGAGCCCAAAATCAAAGAAGCAGGAATTAAAATTCAATGCTTATGTACCAAGCATTGACCCAGGCACTTAGGATACATCACTGAACAAAAGAGCAAAAATATCCACATTTCAGAACTTTTACATACTAGATGAAGGCTTTTTCTGTGGGAATCATGTGTGCTGAATTGAGAATTATCTTTCTTTATATCTTGTCAGATTAAAAGCCAAGAACTATATAATATAGAAATTGAATAATATTTCTAGAGAGGTTCCTGGTGTGAGTTGACATCCCAGAGTAAAGGCCTTCTTTACTAGGATACCTGGTAAGGTATTGCATCTATTTTGTAATGATATATAAAGAAAACTAAAGATGGCAGTATAAACCCTATCCACAGTGCTTACAAACGGTTTTCTCTTGTTAGAGAAAGCTTGTTAGAAAACAAACCAACCTATATGATAGTGAAGGAAATCTATACCAGATACCTGTATTAGCTAACTTGCTTTTTTATTTATAAATTACTAAGAGAGAAAACAAATGCACAAGAGAGAACAAATTAAGCACACAAAACTGACTGAAGATATTTCAGAGAACTCCTTTAAAAACAACTCTAAAGAATACTCTCTAAAGAACTGTTCTTAAAATTTTTTTAATTCAATAGGATATAGCATCCACAGTATCAGTACAAGTGCTACTTTCAGAAAGAACATTAAACTTTGAAGAGAATATTCAAAGACGTAAGAGAAAAATTTTCCTCAGGTGAAGGAACATACCAATTTTTAGATCTGCAGAATGTAGGAAATAAAATTCAAATCAAGTTAACGCCTTGATCATTGTTCATACTGATCCTCCCAAATCACCAAACTGTCCTCAAGGCCCTAGAGCTTATTTTCTCTAAAAACCTCTTCTTGCTATGTTAGTAGAACTTGCTCTCTTACTTCTTTCTTTCAGGTCTCTCAAATAATTCTTTCTCAGAAGGGCCTGACCAGTCTAAAATACGCATATTCCCCTGGCATACCCGGTCATTCAGCACTCTGTATCCTTTTATCTTGATTTGTCTCCACAGTACCTCACAGCACTTTTTAATCACCTGACACACAACATATTACAGCTAACCTATTTTATAATAGATAAGGTGTATATGTGTGTGTGAATTATCTACAGTCTGTCTTCTCCACTAAAAAAACAAACAATAAAAGAACAGTATGGGCAAAGAATTCTTCACCTAGACACATTATCAATAAAATAAGTAAGAGAAAAATAAAGGCATTGCCAAATATGCAAGGATTCAAAAGGTCTACTGGCCTTACATATGTTCTAGGAAAATTAGCTGACAATGTATTCTAGCAAACAGAAAGTAATCCAAGAGAGTAGGAGATACAGAGTCCAAGAAATAACAGATGTAACTCAGAAGACCAATAAAAAGAAAAGCAGAGGTATACAGGTGCTTTACAAAGCAAATGACCATAAATTCAGAACAGAGTGTGAGAAAAACAGCTCTGAAAGCAGATTCCACAAATAGTAACTAAGTGATATGAACCAAGTAACACGACTGTTTTTACTATGGTGCAAGCCAAGAAATTGTAAAATCTTATTTCTTATACAAGAAGAGAGTTTGCAAATAACTTAAACAAAAGAAAAAAACAAACTTCTATAAGGAGGAAGCAAAAATGGACTCAATGTAGATTCTGCATTCTGGAGATAATCATGCTATGGATATTGAATAGCTCTGCATATATGACCATATATGCTACATTTCCTAAGATTACCTCAATTTATTCTCATTTAGACAAATTCACACTGTTTCATAAACTATAAGAACTGGAATAGTGATTGCAAAATAAAATTTTAAAGCAAACTATCTAAACTTATAACCAGTTTGACTACTGCCCAAGAACAATTCTCAAAATTACTTTCAGATTACATCCGCTAGCTTTGGGAAAATAAATAACCTTTATGTCTCCTTCATTTTCTAAAAGCACAAACAAAAATTGATACAAAATAATCTTACCTCTGATGAGTCCATCTTTGGAGATAATGTGCAGGTCAATACATGGTCACCTATGTTCTGTGGGTTTTGTTTAAGAAAGCTGTACATTGACTGAGCAGATTCAGGGCTATCTAACTGAAGAATTGCCTTTGGAGAAGACAAAAAAATATTAAGTTTCTTAAAAAATTAAAAGTAGAATTACCATAAGATCTAGCAACTTTATTTTTTAATATATACCTAAAAGAATTGAAAGCCAGAACTGGAACAAGTATTTGTACATGCATGTTCATACAGTATTATTCACACAGTCAAAAGGCAAAAGCAACCCCACGTGTCAATCAACAGATGAGTAGACAGATAAAATGTGGCTCATGCATATAATGGGATATTTTATCAGCCTCAGCCTCAAAAAGGAAGAAAATTCTGACACAGGCTACAACACATGCTGAAGTATTTTTTTACATTACATTACATTACATTACTTTACATTATGCTAAGTAAAATAAACCAGACACAAAAGGACAAATATTGTACAATTTCACTTATATGAGGTACCTAAAATATCAACAGTCAAATTCAGAGCGACACAAATGTGAATGGTACAGTGGTGGTTGCCAGGAGCTAGGAAAAGGGGGGATGGGGAGTTCCTATTTAATGGACAGAAAGTTTCAGTTTATAAGAGGCTCTGGAGATGCAGAGTGGTGATGGCTGAACAATAATGTAAATATGGTTAACACTACTCAACTTTGACAAACATGATTAAAGAAATTTCTTAAACATGTCAAAGAAATTAGTATCTACTACTTGGTAGATCGGATATATTTTATGGAGCAAATACTGTTAAGTTTGCTGTAAAACCCTTTCGAACTTTCTAGGTAACATACGGTTGTGTCCATGTGTGCTCAGTCATGTCCAACTCTGCTACCCCATGGGCTGCAGCCTGCCAGGCTCCTCTGTCCATGGGATTTCTCATGCAAGAATACTGGAGTGGGTTGTCATTTCCTCCTCCAGGGGCTCTTCCCAACTCAGGAATTGAACCCATGTCTCCTGCATTAGCAAGTGGATCCTACCACTAAGCCACCTGGGAAGCCCCAAGACATAGTTAACCAAACCCTAATTTTCATGGGTACATGTCTGAATTAAGACAGAGGGTATAGCAAATGTATAAAGGATTTATCCTTTTGGCTTTAGCCAAATTATGAAAATAAGGTATGATTATTTCTACTTCTTTACATATAACTTAACAGTTATCTCTGTATGTTTTAACACTGGAAAGGACTTTAGAAAATACCTGGTTAACCCACTTTCATTTTACAAATAAGAAGTAAAAGTGTAAACAACTTAGCTAAGGTCACAAAGGTACTTAAGGCTAGATGAACTCAAGTCTAAACTTCCCCATAAGATAATGGTCTTTGCACACATTACCCTTCTACCCTGTGCAAGTTTCTAGTTCCCCTTAAAACTAAGAGTTCTTCCTTCTTATTACAACCCAGGAGAAAATAAGATGGTATATTATAATTCTGCTCAGAGGCGGAATAATGTTTACAGGTGTTTCAGTTCAGAAGTTGAATTAAAAGTTGCAGACCATACTGAATATAGAGTTCAGCTACATATTCTCTACAAGATAAACAGCTGAAACAGAAGGGCCCTTGTTACCTTGTTTTTATTGCTCATGTATACATGGTGATCCACCTTCCCAAACTGAAGTCCCACACAAAGTACACACTGAAGCCCATCTTCCGGTAAGTTATCAAGATGTACAAATCGATCGTAAATTTTATCTACATTTACCTGTAGTTTTTTTTTAAGAGACAGCACAGAAAAAAAAAACACACACACACACAGCTGAAGTATCAAACTGCAAAACACAGATTAACAATAATTTAATTTTTCAGAGGTCAGGTGACATCCTCTCCCACGAGTAAGAAAATGACTATATAGGTAAAGATAATGTGGTATTAATTTTATCTGAATGATCAGTGAAACAATATGCTTTAAAAGGAAGTATAATCTTTTTTCTATCAACATAACATTTACCCAAAATACCTAATATATACCCAATATTTATCCAAGTCAGTTAATACGGCTCCAGAATCTAAAAAATTTTTCACATTAGGGACTCCTTTATCCTCTATTTCTTATTTTTTTACCAAGAGAAGACTCATATGACATCTCCATCACTTCAATATTTTAAAACTAGTGCCAAGAGTTTCTTTAATTCTTAACAGGTGAAAACAATACAACAAACAATGTTTTTTTATTAATTCAACAAGCGTATAAAAGCATTTAACTGCAAAATTTACCTCTGGGTCATTTTCTCTAATCAAGGTTGTAAATATAGCTTCCTAGAAAGGCAAAATAAAGAAGATTGAAGGTGCACACTCTTTCTTATTTATATATTTAATTAGTCAAGATTTATAATAAAATATGAACAAGCATTAAGAACTACCTCATAAAATGAGAGTCAAGCAAAATTTCTGTTCCTTCCAAAAATCTTTCCCTCTTTCTACACAAGTTATTTAAGTCACACCTGACCATAGACTTTAATTCTTCTTAGTCCTCTAGAACATTAAAGACTAGTAAGGGGGTACCATTTAGGGAAAGACACTCAAATTCACATAAAAGGAATAAGAGATCTAATTTAGCAGACAGTAAGAGAACTCAAATTACAAAGCAAACTCGAGGATGGGAACGAACAGGGGTATAAGCTAGTGAAAAAAACACCACAAGGTTATCAAGTGTACAGCAATTCGATGTTACTGAATTGTATAAAGAGGCCAAGAGTGTCAAAACACAAAAGACATCACAGCTGGAAGAAGCTATAGATAAAAGGCTTAAATGTACAGAGAACGAACTTTACCTTATGAGACAAGAATTCTTAACATTTTTTTCTCTTCAATGCTGACATATATAAAACTACCCCGCAATTATATCACATTAGAATGATTCTCTATGGAAAGCTTTTTCGAAAGACATGCATTTCCACCCTTCTCTAGAGATTCCTAGTATCTCTGCTTCATGTCTCTTTAGCAGTAAATGTTTGTAGGCCAAACAAAAACAATGAAGGATTTCTAAATCAGTTAAATTGGAATAGATTTGAATTTTATGCCAGTGTCATGACTTTGTGAAAAAGGTTTTGAGGGAGACAAAACTGAAGGCAGAGCATATAACAACTATTTTTAGTATGAGTTTTAAAGAGGTGAGGCAAAGGTGAATGGGATGAAGAGAGAATAAGTTCCAGAAATTTCAGGAGTTAAAACAGATCAGACCTAGCACCAGCTGGTTATGAAAAATAAAAGGAAATAATCCCTTCCACCATACATGAGGGATTGGATTCCCTCAGTATGGAAGTAACTCTCAAACAATGAGATGGGAGACTACAGAGAAACAGGAAGATGCTTTCTTAGTGTTTGAGAAAAAACACATGACCCAAAGGAGAAAACTAGAAAACAAAACAGACTATAATAAATTTGATTAAAAATTTTAATAATATTCTAGTAAATATGATGTTAAATCTATTATTTACCTCGTCTTTTAAATTCATGTTTTCAGGAGCCATACTTATTGAGAGTTGATTTCCATCCATTGATATTGGGAAGCAGGTATAAAATTTTACCATAGAATCTGCAGATTTTTTATTTATTTCTATAAATGCCTTTTAAAATAGAAATTATAAGAACAAAAAAAGTCTTATTAAGTTACTTCTCCTTAAAAAATTTAATACTTAAGAGTTAAATGAATTTTGTAACTTAGCAAATATTTTTAAAATAAAAAATGCATTCCTTAGAAAGGTAAGGCCTATACACTAAGAACATTACAACTAAAACCAAGAAATAATGACTGAATTCATAAGGCAATACTAAAGAGGAATAACAAGGGACACTGTAGCAAATGACACTAAGGAAATCTTATTTTCTTATTCATCACCATATCGTTACTACTGAGAGCAGCATCTAGCATGTAGCAGACATCAAACGAACATGTACTGAGTAAATAAACTCAATGACTGACAAAATATGAGAAATATGAGGAATGAAAGAACCAAAGAAATGTGTGATGGTTATCAAGTTATGTTCTATTATTTTCTTCAGTATAAAATTGGAGTACCATACAATTTGGTTTTAATTTTCATACCTGGGTTAAGTAAAAAGATTGAACCTTGTTCCATACGTTTGAGAGTTAATGAGGTGAAAACAGTCCATATTTTTATTTATAGTTGTAGCTTTCTAAAATGAATTATCTCTTTGTGTTAGTTAGCATATTTATCAAACTTTTAGTATTTTATAGCATGTTTATACAAATCCTTTGTTTCCCATTTACACAAATATTTTAAATCTTTTATTTCAATTTTGCTTTATGTTAATTTTAATTTCAAAATGTTTAAAATGTTTCTATGAGTGCATCTGATATTTTTCCACATAACATCTAGAAAAATATTAAATCTCCAAAAACGTAATAGTCTATTCAACTCTTAAAAGTGGGCATAAATAATCTAGATTTGTATTTGGATTTTACATTTATGCACATTCACTTTGGTATGTGATGCAAACTACAAATCTGAATTATTCATTCCCAGAGTTTCACAATTTCCCCCTATTTCAAGGTATTATCACATAAAATTCTTATATTAAAAAAGTATTTTTCAATTTTTATCCATCTCTAAACATTACAAATAATGTGCTTTTTAGAAAATAGCTTTAACGAAATATAGTCTACATATCATAAAGTTCACCTGTTTAAGTGTACAATTCAATGATTTTTAATGTAGAGCTGTGCAACCATTCAAGTAATCTACTTTTGATCATTGGGAGCACTGATACTGAAGCTGAAACTCCAATACTTCGGCCACCTCATGCAAAGAGTTGACTCATTGGAAAAGACCCTGATGCTGGGAGGGATTGGGGGCAGGAGGAGAAGGGGACGACAGAGGATGAGATGGTTGGATGGCATCACCGACTCGATGGACATGAGTTTGAGTAAACTCCGGGAGTTGGTGATGGACAGGGAGGCCTGGCGTGCTGCGATTCATGGGGTCACAAAGAGTTGGACACGACTGAGCGACTGAACTGAACTGAAAAGTGAATATAATTACTTACACTTACTATCCCTTCCTTCTGTTTTCTTGAGTACACTGGTTCGACTCTCAAAAATTTCTAATGATCACCAACTCCTTTCTATAAGAATGCTACTCCCCACCACTCTGAGGGTGCTGTTTCCATTATTTAAACTTCTCTGAACCTTCATGTCCTATAAATATTTTCTACAAGTTGTTCATTATTAACACATTGTTTTAAAATTACAAAAGTAATAAACACTTATTATAGAAAATTGAAGACATACAGATAAAACTAGGCTGGTTCTATGTACTGATGACTCCATCAGTGTGAGTCTGAAAATGGTTATTTCCCATTTGAGTATAAACGGTAAAAAAAAAAAAAAAAGCAGAAATACTAGTAAAGACAGCTAAACAAAACTTTGTAAGTTGTTAAAAAACTATTATTACATAAGGTATTTTCTGTTAAATGTTCAAGCAAATTTTTAATGGGGAAATCCATCCTTCCCACCATAAAACTACACCTGATTACAGAATAAAACTTTAAAAATAAGTGATTAACTGTATTTTGTATTTTAAAAATGCCTTAGCTTGAGACAGCTTATTTTGAGGTGTTGCTCTTAAACCCTTTCTTTCAAGCTTTGTAAAGTTAATATTTTTCAAAATGAGCTTGCAGACAACATGAATTCACAACTATTTTCAACTCTTACCTTTTTATGAGATGACAAAATCAAAATATCCTTTAAACCACCAAATGGTTTTACAAGGTTGGAAACTTCTTCAACAGAATATCCTTTACTAGGCAAATCAGATATAAGTACCAGACACATTTCTTCTGTTTCCTTCAAAACAAATTTAAGAACTGACATTAAAACTGTTATTTACTTAGTTATATTTATGTTTTACACTGCAGATCACTGTTAGTATTTAAATTGCATTTAATACTCTGATTAATTCAGAAAGTTGGTCTAAACCACAAATTAAAAACAATACAAAATGCATTTTTCCACTCTTGAAGTACACAGAATAATTCTGTCATCTAGTCAAGGTCTTTAGTTCTCTTCTGTAACCACTGCTTAAAAACAAGTTTAAAAACATAACGCTGCCTGTCTTTGATTAGAACTCTTTCCTTTCGTGTACTGTTCCCATTCCCGTGCCTTGTGATGCTAATATATTTGATGCTCCAAATCAGCTCAGTTCAGTTCACTCAGTCCTGTCCAACTCTTTGCGACTCCATGAATTGCAGCACGCCAAGCCTCCCTGTCCATCACCAACTCCCGGAGTTTACTCAAACTCATGTCCATCGAGTCGGTGATGCCATCCAGCCATCTCATCCTCTGTCGTCCCCTTCTCCTCGTGGCCCCAATCCCTCCCAGCATCAGGGTCTTTTCCAATGAGTCAGCTCTTCACATGAGGTGGCCTATTAAGTACTGGGGTTTCAGCTTCATTATCAGTCCTTCCAATGATCACCCAGGACTGATCTCTTTTAAGATGGCCTGGTTGGATCTCCTTGCAGTCCAAGGGACTCTCAAGAGTCTTCTCCAACACCACAGTTCAAAAGCATCAATTCTTCTATGCTTAGCTTTCTTTACAGTCCAACTCTCACATCCGTACATGACTATTGGAAATCAGGGCATATCCTTTTATCATACTGAGTAAAATAATTCCTTGTAAGCAATATAAAAAGGCTTACCTAGTCTCTTAGTATCCTTACCCCATAACCCAATCCTCACTACAAAATACTTTCATTTCTGCCTTCTCTTCTCTTAGATCTATTTTATTCTTCAAGATGACTCCCCCCAAAATGCCAACGTTCCCTTTAGTGGATGTTGGGTGAAATCCACAAAAGTGCACTACACTAAATTCGGCAACTTGTAACTTTTCTTTTTGGAGAGTGAGAGGGTAGGAAATTATAATTTTCATAAGCTAGTTGAGAACGATTTTTAAATAGCATGCAAACTGTGTTCGCAAATGATTCTAGAATGCAATAAGTCAATCTAAATATTCTCCTGCTGCTTTAAAATATTCTTCTCAAACCAAAATAGTAAGTTAACACATACTACTTAATTACTACTTGAAGAATAGGGCAACCACTTTAATATGAACTTACCCTCAGCACCTGAAGGGTCTCAAGATCTTAACCACTAATTTCTAAATTAATGAAATTTTAACATATTCAAAATGACACATATAAGCACAGGAAAACAATGTGAACTTAATGCCCTTGAAATAGAACTGCAAATGCCACTTGCTCCTCTAAACATACAAAAAATTAACTGGTATTCTAAGTATTAACATATCTCCAATTTGCCTCTATAAGAAAAAAAAAAAAAATTCACAAAATTCTGTTGCTTTTCTACTCAAAAACCCAGCTGGCTTAACACTTTCTTCTCAGTGAAAAGAAATGCTCAATAACATGTACATTTATTTATGATAATCTGCACCTAAATTTCTGTGACTTATTTTGCAACTCAAGATTTTTAAACTCAAAACACATTTTCAGTTCAGTTCACTCAGTTGTGTCCGACTCTTTGCGATCCCATGAATCGCAGCACGACAGTGATTTTGGAGCCCCCAAAAATAAAGTCTGACACTGTTTCCACTGTCTCCCCATCTATTACAAGGTCACAAAAGACCAGGATTTTCACCATACCTTATATGTACATTTTTTACCTAGGTTTATAGTAAGAAAACTATACTGTGTCACAATCTCTTAAGCTTAAAACAAAAAGGGGGGAAATTAAAAACTGACCTTGTTGACTGGTTCATTTTCTGTGGCCTCTACAGCAGCTAAAGATACAAAATAAAATAAGAATTCATGCAAATATATTTTATTTATCAGGATCTAACTTTATTCCACAATAGATTAAATTGTAGCTTCATGAAAATGTACGTAACAGGCAAAAGACCAGAGAAATTTAAACAGGATACAGTTACAAAATTAACTGGCTTTCAAATAATACATTCAGTTTTACTTCTTCTGGGGGCAAAATCAAGAGATAAGGTGAAGATCTGAATCAAATATTCTTAAATTCACCTAGGTACAACCCTGCTATTGGGGAAAAAAAAATATATATATATAGTTGTTGCTGTTGAATCACTCAGCTGTTTCCAACTCTTTGTGACCTCATGGCCTGTAGCCCGCCAGGCTCCTCTGTCCATGGGATTTCCCAAGTAAGAACACTACACTGGGTTTTTATTTCTAACATAATATATATATATATATATATGTAATATTTATATATTTCCTACATATATATATGACACAAAAACCTTAGTAAAACTTTTTTTAATCTTTCATCTTTAAACATAAGAGAACAAAATAAAATTTCTATTTACCTACCTGAAATAGTTTCTTTAGCACCATTTTCAGTGGTTTTGACTTCCACATTTGTCTTCATTTCAGAGCTTTCTGCAAGATCAAAGTCAAAGTCAAAGTTGCTCAGTCGCATCCAATTCTGTGAACCCATGGACTATACAGTCCATGAAATTCTCTACGTCAGAATACTGGAGTGGGTAGCCTTTCCCTTCTCCAGGGAATCTTCCCAACTGAGGGATCAAACCAATGCAGGTCTCCCGCATTGCAGGCGGATTCTTTACCAGCTGAGCCCTTCTTAGTCTAGAAAAACACTAATACAATTAAACTAATGAATATAAACAGGAACTTAAGCTAGGTTATTTTGTTACTTCAAGTCTCCATAAGCTGACCTGATTGAAGACAAAGCTAATGCAAATTTTCCTTTGAAACACAAAACAATCCTTTTCATTTTAAAGCAATGACTTCAAAATATATCTCGAATGTATACCAATAGGATTTAATGAAACAAAAGCACTGAATGATAGCAATTCAAGCTTACCTGGTACATTCACAGATTTACTGGTGTCTTTGTTCTTGACAAGTCCAGCCTTTTTGACTTCCAGGGACTTCTTTCCACTAGATTTTGCTTTTAAAAAGTAGAGTTGAACCATTATCATAAGGCTCTATTCAGCCATTTACGTTTCATACCAATATATCAGTAAATAAGTAGTTCAATTTCATTATAAAAGCAGCTCTTTTCCATGTATTTATTTCTAATTTTTTTCCAGTATCTGTTTATCAGTAAGATTAAACAAAAATATAAACTGAGATGTAATTTTTGTTAAGGGTTATTAATGATTCACAAATTTGATCCTCATGTGCCAAAAGCACACCAAATCACACACAAAAATTCTACTTTTTTATTTTCACAAAGATTCTTTACAATTAACATTAGTCTACTGGGAAAATATATTAATAAACAGATCATGTTAGTTTCAACATGTTACAATTTAGTGTTCCATTTCTTGATGGAGGATACATTCTTATAAACATGGAAAGCAAATCTTTAAAGTAGAAATATTAGGGGAGTTCTATAAGCTGAGAAAGATAATATGAAGTGACAACTCTAAAAATATGAGGAAAAGAAAGATTAAACAGGGGGGAGGTGGTTATAACAGCCTATTATACAGCTGTCAGAAATGTTTCCAAAAATATCTGCAATGGCAAAAGCTGTCAAAGACCAAAGCACCTAAAAACAAATGTTATATGTGTGTGAAGTTTTAAGTATCAAAGAAGTATCTACTAAACTTTTCAAGATGTTATTAGATACAAATTATATCAAACTTGCTTTTGATATTATATTTATTACATTCTTTAAAACAGAATTATGAATAAGCTTAATATAACCTTTCAACAGTCTTACCTGTTTTGATTGAAGCTTTATTACCTTTAGCAGCTACTGTTACCACAGATTTGACAGAACCCGCTGACTTCCCTAAATCACAAAAGCTCAGTCAAAACTGGTTTATTTATTAACAAGTATCAACAATACTGAAAGAACGTCAAAAAGGATATAAGAGCAACAGACTATATTTTATTCAAACATAAAATGCTATCATCTTTAGGGACACAGATCATTTGCTAAATTAGAAATGATAATTCACCTCCCTTTTTGGGTACTTAAAAAATAGCATTCAGGCAAGTTACTTAAATCATATCAACTAGAAGCAAAATTATTAACTACAGGATATAAAAACATTTCTATGATGGCTTTAATGGTTCCAAAAGTAGTTATATTTAGGACCTCCCAATTCAGGCTTCCTTGGCTCCCAGTCGATTAAAAAGCCCTTCAAAGTGAAAGTCGCTCAGTCTTGTCTGACTCTCTATAACCCCATGGACTATTGCAGTCCATGGAATTCTCTAGGCCAGAATACTAGAGTGGGTAGCCATTCCCTTCTCCAGGAGATCTTCCTAACCCAAGGATCAAACCCAAATCTCCCTCATTGCAGGCAAATTCTTTACCAGCTGAGTTACCAGGGAAGCCCTTAAGAATACCTATATCATGGTCAGGCCACATCAAGATTGTTTTGACTCATTCCTAATGGGTCCTATTTTAACAGAACTTTTTGAACTGCTCTAACACTTTGTACACATGCATATGTTACTGTTGCCTATATTCCAAAATGAAGTTTATATGAAGACTGTGATCATCTAAGTGTCACTAAAAAGACTGCCAGAGAACAAGAAAAACTGAACCTTTTTATTCAGAGAGCAACAAGAGGTTTAGTTCTTAAAATCAGGATTCTCAACAAGTAGCAAGACAGTATATGAGGAAAAAGACCAGGTTCAGAAGTCATTAAATCCAAGCTGAATTCCAAGTTAAATTGTGAGGTCTGGGATAATTTACTGATTGCTGTGCACACTACCCCATTTATAAACAATGGTGGTAATCGCCCTATTTAACAGGACCTTCTGTGAAAATATGATCATGCTTTTGAAAAGTTATTAAAATGAATTATGACATCTACAATATTTAATCAAAATAGCTTACAAATCCACTGCTCATATCCAAAGAGAGACCTTAATTTTTGCTCAAAAAGAGAAATACTAATCTTTATATTGTCATTTAACCAGTCATTTTCCTAGTCATGCCCAAGTTTTGTCACACTGCAGTAACCTAAGCCCAAATGAACCCTTAAGGTGTTTCTTTCACTATTCTATGCTATTACCACAAATCAATTCACTTTACTACTTCTAGTAGAGGAAAAACAGAAAGGGGGATAAATACTAGGGGCAAGCAGAAAAAAATTAAATTATTACTTTAAAATATAATGTAGCCTACAAAAAAGGCAAAGAGAACATAATTTGCCATAAGTTTGTTATCTGGACTATTTTATAAACGAAAAGTGAACAGAGAAGACCAAAATAAGAGAGAAAAAGGGAAATATTTCTAATATTCATCAGGAAAATAGTTTGCCAGTTAAATTATCTTATTTTGATAATAACTGCAGGAAAAGAGCATTGTCTACTGAACATGTTTTCTCAAAACTTCTAGATGACTGTAAATTTCAAAAATTGGTATATACTCAGCAAACACTGTACCACATGAAATCAAGACTACTGACAAAACCATCTTAAACAATTTAATCAATATGTCTAACATTCTCATATAGAAAACATACCTGAAGATTTATTTACTTTGGCTGCAGATGTCTTGGTTTGTCCAGTTTTGGCTAAAACAATAAGAAAAATACATCAATAACACATTACAAAAAATGTAATTTACATTTAGGAAAGAGCTAACTTGGCATAAGCTTCTTATCCTTCTCCATCAGAGGGCAGACAGAATGAAAACCACAATCACAGAAAACTAACCAACTGATCACATGGATCACAGCCTGGCTTAACTCAATGAAACTATGTGCCATGCCATGTAGGGCCACCCAAGACGGACAGGTCATGGTGGAGAGTTCTGACAAAACATGGTCCACTGGAGAAGGGAATGGCAAACTACTTCAGCATTCTTGCCTTGAGAACCCCATGAACAGTATGAAAAGGCAAAAAGATATGACACTGAAAGATGAACTCCCCAGGATGGTAGATGCCCAATATGCTACTGGAGAAGAGAGGAGAAATAGCTCCAGAAGGAATGAAAAGGCCAAAGCTGAAACAACATCCAGTTGTGGATGTGGCTGGTGGTGAAAGTAAAAGTCTGATGCTGAAAAGAACAATACTGCATAGGAACCTGGAATGTTAGGTTCATGAATCAAGGTGAACTGGAAGTGGTCAAACAGGAGACTGAAGAAGGCAATGGCACCCCACTCCAGTACTCTTGCCTGGAAAATCCCATGGACAGAGGAGCCTGGTAGGCTGCAGTCCACGGGGTTGCTAAGAGTTGGACACGACTGGGTGACTTCACTTTCACTTTTCACCTTCATGCATTAGAGAAGGAAACGGCAACCCACTCCAGTGTTCTTGCCTGGAGAATCCCAGGGACAGGGGAGCCTGGTGGGCTGCCATCTATGGGGTCGCAGAGTCGGACACGACTGAAGTGACTTAGCAGCAGTAGCAAACAGGAGATGGCAAGAGTAAACAACAACATTTTAGAAATCAGTGAACTAAAATGGACCGGAATGGGCAAATTTAGTTCATATGATCATTGTATCTACTACTGGTGGCAAGAATCCCTGAGAAGAAATGGAATAGCCCTCATAGTCAACAAGAGTCCAAAATGCATCACTTGGGTGCAGTCTCAAAAACGACAGAATGATCGCAGTTTGTTTCCAAGGAAAACCATTCAATACTGCAGTAATTCAGTTCATTTCAAGGCTAATGATTCAATATCACAGTAATTCAAGTCTATGGCCCAACCACTAATGCTGAAGAAGGTGAAGTTGAATGCTTCTATGATGACCTCATAGTCAACAAGAGTCTGAAATGCAATCTCAAAAATGACAGAATGATCTCTGTTCGTATCCAAGGCAAACCATTCAATATCATAGCAATCCAAGTCTATACTCCAACCACTAATGCCAAAGAAGCTGAAGTTAAACAGTTCTATGATGACCTGAAAGACCTTACAGAATGAACACCTTTTCATCATAGGGGACCGGAATGCAAAAATAGGAAGTCAAGAGATACCTGGAGTAACAGGCAAGCGTGGCCTTAGAGTACAAAATTAAGCATGGCATAGGCTAACAGAGTTTTGCCAAAAGAACACACCGGTCATAGCAAACACCCTCTTTTAACAACACAAGAGTCGACTCTATACATGGACATCTCAGGATGGTCAATGCTAAAATCAGACTGATTATATTTTCTTTGCAGGCAAAGATGGAGAAGCTCTATACAGTCAGCAAAAACAAGACCAGGAGCTGACTGTGGCTCAGATCATAACCTCTGATTGCAAAATTCTGACTTAAATTGAAGAAAGTAGGGAAAACCACTAGACCATTCAGGTATGACCTAAATCAAATCCCTTGCAATTACACAATGGAAGTAACAAGTCGATTCAAGGGATTAGATCTGATCGAGTGTCTGAATAACTATGGATGGAGGTTCGTTACATTGTTCATGAGGCAGTGGTAAAACCATCCCCAAGAAAAAGAAATGCAAAAAGGCAAAATGGTTGTCTGAGGAGGCCTTACAAATAACTGAGATAAGAAGAGAAGCTAAAGGCAAAGTAGAAAAGGAAAGTTATAACAAACTGAATGCAGAATCCCAAAGAATAGCAAGGATAGACAAGAAAGCCTACCTAAGTGAATGATGTAAGGAAACAGAGGAACACAACAGAGTGCAAAAAGACTAGAGATAAAAATCAGAGACACCAAGGGAGCGTTTCACACAAAGATGGGGACAGTGAAGGACAGACACGGCATGGACCTAACAGAAGCAGAAGAGATTAATAAGAGGGGGCAGGAATACATAGAAGAACTATACAGAAAGGATCTTAATGATCTGGATAACCATGATGGTGTGATCACTCACCTAGAGCCAGACATCCTGAAATGGGAAGTCAAGTTGAGACTTAGGAAGCATCACTACAAAGTTAGTGGAGGTGATAGAATTCCAGTTGAGCTATTTCAAATCCTAAAAGATGATGTTGTGAAAGTGCTGCCCTTCAATATGCCAGCAAATTTGGAAAACTCAGCAGTGGCCACAGGACTGGAGAAGGTCAGTATCATTCTAATCTCCAATCTCAAAAAGGGCAATGCCAAAGAATGTTCAAACTACCACACAACTGCACTTATTTCACATGCTAGCAAGGTCTTGCTCAAAATCCTTCAAGCAAGGATTCACAGTATGTGAACCAAGAACTTCCAGATGTTCAAGCTGGATTTAGAAAAGGCAAAGGGACCAGAGATCAAACTGCCAATAACCGCTGGATGATAGAAAAAGCAAGAGAATTCCAGAAAAACACCTACTTCTGCTTCACTGACTACATTAAAGCCTTTGACTGTGTGGGTCACAACAAACTGCAGAAAATTCTTCAAGAGATGGGAACACCAGACCACCCTGGTATTCTGCCTGTTTCCTATGACACCTGCATGTAGGTCAAGAAGCAACAGTTAGAACCAGGCATGGAACAACGGACAAGTTCAAAATTGGGAAAGGAGTACGTCAAGGCTGTATATTGTCACCTGCTTATATAACTTATGTGCAGAGTACATCATGCAAAATGCTGGGCTGGACAAAGCACAAGCTGGAATCAAGATTGTGGGGAGAAATATCAATAACCTCAGATATGCAGATAACACCACCCTTATGGCAGAAAGCAAAAAGGAACTAAGTCTCTTGATGAAGGTGAAAGAGGAGAGTGAAAAGGCTGGCTTAAAACTCAAACAATCAAAAAATGAAGATCATGGCACCTGGTCCCATCACTTCATGGTGAATAGGTGGGGGGAAAATGGAAAGTGGTAGGTTTAATTTTCTTGGGTTCCAAAATCACTGCAGATGGTTGACTGCAGCCATGAAATTAAAAGACGCTTGCTCCTTGGAAGAAAAGCTATGACAAACCCAGACAGCATGTTAAGAAGCAGAGACATTACTTTGCCGACAAAGGTCTGTATAGTCAAAGCTATGGTTTTTCCAGTAGTCATGTATGGATGTGTGAATTGGACCATAAAAATAGCTGAGTGCCAAAGAATTGACGCTTTTGAACTATGGTGTTGGAGAAAACTCTTCAGAGTCCCTTAGCCTGAAAGCAGATCAAAGATATGATGTGAAGAACTGACTCATTGGAAAAGACCCTGATGTTGGGAAAGATTTAAGGCAGGAGAAGGGGGCAACAGAAGATAAGACGGTTGGATGCAATCACCGACTCAATGGACATGAGTTTGAGCAGGGTCCAGGAGCTGGTGATGGACAGGGAAGCCTGGCCTATTGCAGTCCACAGGGTCACAAAGAGTCAGACACAACTGAGTGACTGAAAACTGCCTAAGGGTCATGAAAGGTTATCAAAAAGAAGCACTTTCTGAGACAGGCCTTAAAGAATAAATTAGAATTTGCCCCACCCTGACCCTCTAAAAGGAGTTTTAACTGGCTTTGTATTTTAATTACCTTGCACAAGGCCTGGTACCTACTAAGGAGGTACTTTAGAAGTACTTACTGATGTTGCTGCTCCTAAGTCGCTTTAGTCGTGTCCGACTCTGTGCGATCCCAGAGACGGCAACCCACCAGGCTCCTCTATCCCTGGGATTCTCCAGGCAACAATACTGCAGTGGGTTGCCACTTCCTTCTCCAATGCATGCAAGCATGTTAAGTTGCTTCAGTAGTGTCCAACTCTGTGGGACCCCAAGGACAGCAACCCACCAAGCTCCTCTGTCCACAGTATGTCTAGGCAAGAATACTGGAGTGGGTTGTTACTAAGTAAAGTTAACTGGAATTTAGACAATGACTCCACATGAATGGAGTATTTCACAGTATAAAGACCTGTGAAATGAAATAGGACAGAAGAGCTGGAAAATAAACTGCTCTGAGTAACTGAAACATAATATACATCTGTGTGAAAAGAGACTGAAAAAGTTTCAGGGGAAAGGTAAGGGGTCATTTATGCAAGGCTGAAGAATTATGGGCTTTCTCCAGTGGATCACCAGCTTAAAACAGGGGCCAATGTGGATCCCTTCTACTAAAGCACAATGAATACTATTTTCCTAGCATCATCTTCCAAGAAGTTTCCAGTAAACTGACAAAATATACTCATCATATTGGAGGAATATTAAAAGTAACAACTTACTAGCAGAAGCTGCAGTCACAGTTTCAACAGCTGTGGAAGCATCTGTATCTTTTCTATTAAAAGAAGAAAGAAATCAGCAAAGAAATTCTAACACCAAAATCTTCTAAAGATGCAAAGCTTAAATCTAAAAAAGTTTAAAATAATTCAATTAGAATGATGTTCCATTTGAACAGGGAGAGAAAATATAATAAAAATGTAGTCCAAACTTTTAAAGTTTAATTCATATGCATATTTGTTCTCACACAGAAAATCACAGAATTACTTACTTCAAAGTAGATGCAGATGTTTTCTTTGAATCTGACATCTTTTTCTTCACCTCTTTGTTCTATGAAGGAAAAATATTTTGAAACCTTAAGCCTCTTCTCAAATTATGAAAGGGAATATACAAAATACACAAAAGCTTAAGAAATCTACACACATATATAACCACAAATAAAAATCTTCTTACCCTAAATAAAAATGCTCATTACCTTTTCTATTTATAGACATAAATAAAATATTTTCAACCTGTGATTATACAGTATAATTTTACATCTTGTCTTTTATCACTTATTGACATTTTCTTATCACTATCTTTCAAAGACACTTCTAATAGTGCCATATCATTTCTGATATCTAATTACTATCATTCTGGTCAAAGCTATCACAATCTTTTGCTTTAATTACTATAATAAACTCATAATGGTCTCTGCTTCTGTCTTTGCTTTTCAACCACCCTCACAC